CTAATATTGTTCAAGGAGAGCCGTTTTTTCTAAAGAGATGAGTATTCGAAACACCTATGTCGACTTAAAATGAACCTAGTACAAACCTAACATCACTTGCTTCGGACTCTGAGAGTCTTGTTTAGAGTTCAATGAATTTTGGATCCGAAACTAATTTTGGCATTGGTTTGCTAAAAACGTTGTGTCAGCGTAGCGATGGCTGCCTAATTGCAGAGCAGAGCTCATGATCACGATCATGGGAAAATCAAGCTGCTAATTCGTTAGCCCACTTAAATAGACTTGACTGCCGTTGATTGTTGATCATACGTTTAGTCAACTGCCTTTAAATTCCTCGTATCTGCTATCACTCCCGTGCGCATATATGACAGAGATTCAACAACCTAAGAAGTGTCAGGATAGAATTCTTAACCATATCATTTCTAATCTGACTTAAGCGTGTCGAACAGTTAATGGTAGACGTCATGGACCGACAAATGTGTAAGTACTGGTCAAACAGTGGAAATTTTCTAGAAGACATTTGATCACTAATAAAATAACTTTTTGAGTAAAAAAGGTTTCCTTATATTAAGACATTGTCTGAAATGCCGGCAGTCCAAATACTGTTCGGCTGAAATGAAGAGGATTTTAGCTGCTAATGCTTAATCATAAGAGCGTCTGTGAGACCTAACGAATGAAGTATCAGTAGTAAGAGGACCATTGGAAAGTTCGATGGTTCCTGATAAAAGATTCGTGCTAACTTTAACACAGTCCGTAAACTAGCCAATCATCGCCTACTCAAAGAAGCAAAGAGTAGTTGATAGGCTTTCGCGCGCCTACAGATTACCTCTATTTTCTTAGGTAACCCAGCTGTCACTATGAGTTTCGGCGAAGACGGTTTGGAAATTTCAAACTGCTCAATCATTTTATAATGTTTTCAACAGTTTGCTTTTTCTTGAAGAAAAAATTTCCCATTTCTTATTTCAACACTGAATGCCATTTGGTGCTTTCATGGACCATTACTCGCAAACTCAGGCTATCAAAGATACCTGTATTGCCTATTTCACACATGAAACAGTAGCTCCAAACGAGAGCTACTGACGACAGTATCCCTAACAGCATTCCAATTAAGCTCAACGACACCATAGCAGGTGGAGTGCCTGTTTTCAGAATTCGTTAATAATAAATAATACTGGGTGTGAAATACATGCGTGTCTCCTTTAGTGTAGCGTTCAAAAAATATATCTGGCCTAATATTGATAGACCACGGAGAAAAAAGGGCTAACAGGGCTTGCGACATTTCAAGGACCGTTGTTATTGGCCTATTTGGCACGGAACAACCTATCCAATAGTAGTTAACGAGATAAACAACTACAAATGCTATTGGTCAGTGCCATTTAAATTTTGAAATCAGTGAAATACTGTTTTTGGAGCAGATCGTTGTGCTCTATCGATCGTGCAAACATGAAGTTCATGGCTATTGTCCTTGTGTTACAAGTAAACTGTATGTTAACAGATTTTAAATAAACGTTTTCTTTCAGATGTTTCTAGTTATAAGGAGGCAAGCAGACTCTATGACGTTCTTATGAACCAACAACATTACAACAAAATTGTTAGACCAGTTCGGAACTTCAGTGAATCACTGACTGTCTTCTTCGGTCTGGGCCTTTTGCAACTCATGGATGTGGTGAGTTATATCCGAAAGAATGCGCAGTTGGAAGCGGAAAATAAATTTCACGCTGCAAATTTTTGGGCAGTCTCCAATCAGATTAACTAGGCTGACGACATTCGTTGTAACCTAAGAGCCATCCGACAGCAACATTATTGAAATAATTTTACCTTAGCCTTAAAGTAGTTCTGTGTTCACCTTTCACCCAATATACTCCTAAAACTTCCGTCAAACAGCTAGAAAGAATCAAAAAAATTCTAAAATTTGTTAAATAGTCATTTTCCACGTTTCGACTGGTATTATGCGTTATTAAAAACGCTGCCATTTCATTGAACATTATATGGTGCAAACAATATCAAATTTAGTTCCATTATGAGTGCGTAATATTATGTGCAATTACGGCTAAAATTAAATGCTGAACTAATTACTAACAAAACTGTTTGACATTGGTCTGTCACCAACCCTACCGTAGATTTGCGACGAATTGATGTATAACTTACCGATTGGTCCTTATTTGCTCTTTAACAAGTTAAAAGATTTCGCGTGAAATATGCAGATGCTTAAAGAGAGCAAACTGACCGATCTTCAACCAAAAGTTGAAAAATCGCATTTACGTGTGTGTTGATTGACATCGACAATTACAATTCAATAGGAACTCAGAGGGTTATTCGAAGCCTTCTATAGCTGCAAACCTAGATGCATGAGAATACGTTGAAACCTCTTAGCTTCGATTCTTATTGAAACACCCAAAGTGTAGCTGATAGGGAACGAATTCATGGAATTTATTATAGCGGGGTCTATTAATTGGTTACTGGTATCGTACGGATG